AGTCAGGGCGATCACAACACACGCATTATTATTATTATTATTATTATTATTATTATTATTATTATTATTATTATTATTAGAGCAGTCAACACATGCGTTATTTCATGCTACTCGGATTTATTGCTCATTATAATCAGCTGCATTACAAAAATCATTAACATATATTTATAACAAATATATCATATGTAAATATATAATTATATACGTATATATAAATATATATATATATATATATNTACTATAGTATGTGCATGATGATATATATCTCTTAGCTCCTGTACTATAGTATGTGCACGATGATATCTCTTAGCTCCTGTACTATAGTATGTGCATGATGATATCTCTTAGCTCCTGTACTATAGTATGTGCACGATGATATCTCTTAGCTCCTGTACTATAGTATGTGCATGATGATATCTCTTAGCTCCTGTACTATAGTATGTGCACAATGATATCTCTTAGCTCCTGTACTATAGTATGTGCACGATGATATCTCTTAGCTCCTGTACTATAGTATGTGCACGATGATATCTCTTAGCTCCTGTACTATAGTATGTGCGAGCCACGTACACTGATATCCAACCAGCTTCCGGTGTTCTCTCTATCTTCTCCCGCTGCTGCTGCTGCTGCCGCTGTTGCTCCTGCTGCTGCCTGTAGTAGTCCTCTGGCTTTATATCTGATCTAAATGTTTCCAGCTCCTGCTCTGATATGGGCGCAGCAGTAGAATCACGCTTCAAAGTACGCGGATGCGGTGGATTCCTGCAGAGAGAGCGATAATTAGACGCCAATAGACAAGGGAATGAATTAGGGAGAATTCGGTGATTGCTCCCCGCAGAGACATCTGTAATTTGTGAGACAGTGAATTATTCCTGACTTTGTGTGACTCTTTCTGTGTGACGTCAGCAAGGAACGCCTAGCTGGGAATCTTGTGGCGTCTGCTTTGATTTTTTTTCCGCATACGAGACACGATTTATTAAGATAGCGATAGACACATTCAGAGAGAGAAGGCGGGGTAGAGATACAGCGAAATAAATATGTAGAGAGAGAAAGGCGAGAGAGAGATAGAGATATAATAAGAGATAAATGGGAGAGAAAAAACAGAGCGCGAGAAAGAGAGAGAAGGGACGATAGAAATATATATATAGAGAGAGAAAGAGTGAGAGAAAAAAGAGAGATACACAGAGAGAGAAAAAGAGAGAGAGAAAAATGGAGAAAGACATGAGCTCGTAGAGGTAGAGACCCCCCAGTGCTAACCTCCCCCGTTGACCCCACCCACACCACCACCCCCACCCCCACCCCACCCACCCCACCTCCGCACGGACCTTTTCTTCGGCTGGAAGCTGGTGTCCGAATCGCTGGTTGTGTGGTCGTCCGGCCGCCTCAAATTCCAGTTGGGCGGAAGCGCGGCCGACTTCTGCCTCACGTCCGACCTGCTGACCGCTTCCACGATGGTGCGCTCGGTGATGGCTGCCTGCTTAGTCATCAGGTCGTCGAGCGTGTTGGCGGGATCTGCACGGAAGAGACAACAGTACTGATGTTAGGGTGAAAGTCAGGAGTAGGGTTAGGGTTAGAGTTATGGTTTGGGTTAGGGTTAGAGTAGGACGCGAGTTGAGCGGGTTGGCGGACAATCTCTCTACACAGGAGAAGCAACAGTACTGCTGTTAGGATTGCGGTTAGGGTTAGGGTTAGGGTTATGGACATGGTTAAGGTTAGGGCTATAGTTAGTATTAGGGTTAGGGTTAGGGCTAGGGTTAGGGTTAGGGTTAGGGGTTTGAGTGAGGGTTAGGATCAGGCTTAGGGATAGAATTAGGATTGGGGTTATGGGTTGGGTTGGGACTATTCGCCAAGAATAAGCGATAGGGCCACGACCTTTTTTCACGTGTTGAGAGTAAAAATATAAACACCTAATTTTATCCTTTACATGTAACCCTATCCCTAACTCTAACTTTAACGCTAGCTAGAGTTGTAAGCCCGCTCCTAACCCTCTCTTCGTACTCAGCAAAGTGCTGGATTACCTGGTCATCCACACCTTATAGCTAGCTACGTATAAGTAGTTGTAGTTGTTGCTGATGATGCGCTTCATTACGTTAATGAGCGAGTGGTACTTAGCGCGTGGATGACGCTTCACTGTCCACTAGATAATTACGGTAAAAGCGTGAGCTGCTAATTACTGAGTCATCAATCCACGTATTATATAGGTAACAATCAAAGTAAGAACACAACATTTTCGGTAAATTAAAACAACTTGAGCAGTTTAAGCATAACAACCGATGATGATGATGATGATGATGATGATGATGATGATGATGATGATGATGATGATGGTGATTGCTTAATGATGTTATTGCTTCCTATCACTGCGACACACTACTAACACAGAACATGTCTTCTGCACAATACAGACACAAGTATGTCTGGCTGAGAATTATATACAGCCATATCATGACAGAATCATGATAGTCACTATTGCAGCTTCACTAGATTATCACGCAGTCCTATATCTATTATAACTCTTATCTAGTCGAGATAAGGGTTATAATAGCTATAGGACTCTATGTCCAGATCTGGTCTGAATTGAAAAACACTAACGAATGAACGTGAATGAATGTGAGACTAGGAGCTAGACAAGACTAGTCTAGACAAACTAATACTAACTTCTATATGTATCACTAGCAACATAATCACACGCCGGGAAGCCGAATTAACATCAGAGTAACGTTATCTGTTGGTACGATGGCCTGACAGTTGTGATGTCACGCGGTACCGTGATGTTACACAGTATCGTGATGTCACACAGCATTGTGAGCACCCGACAGATAGGTGCGATATGATATGACTACTAGGCACTTAGGATATGACTACTAGGCACTTAGGATATGACTACTAGGCACTTAAAAAAAACCTAACCCTAACCCTAACCCTAACCCTTACCCTAAAAAAGAAAAATTAATTAAATTAAAGTGCGTAGTAGACATATCATATCGCATCTTTCTGCCAACACCGCATTGTGATGTCACACGGAAGGCATGAAGCATGGGAGCGAGTATGATCTGATGTTTTCGAACTTCACATATTTACAATCGATCGTTGTTTATATTGCATGCTACTTAAAATTAAATTTAAATTAGTAAAATAAATTAAAATAATTGAAATGACTGAAAATTCGTCATCTAAAACAGAATTAGATTGGTCAGAAAGAATAGTCACCTTAGATGGATAGTCACCTTAGATGGATAGTCATCTCAGGCCAAACTAAAATGGATTTAGACCTGCTCGTTCGACAACAACACACATTCTTGCTCTTAGGAGACTAATAGAAGAAGTTAAAAGTCACAATAGAAAGACTATTATCATCTATGTAGACTTCAAGAAGGCCTTTGACTCCATACATAGAGGGATGATGATGAAAATACTCGAAGCATATGATATACCACCAAGATTGCTGAGGGCAATCAGCAAGCTTTACGAAAACACCAAAGCAAGAGTGATTACACCTGCTGGCGAAACAGAGTATTGCAAGGAGACACCCTAGCACCATACCTCTTTGCTATTGTCCTTGACTATGTAATGCGTAAAACCTATCATGGTCGAGAAGAGAAACTTGGATTTTGACTACATAGACAAAGAAGTAGGAGGGGCATCAAGAAAAAAAACAATAGAGGCAGGAGAAGAATTACCTATGTGGATAACTTGATGAAAGACACTGGAATGCAAGTAGTACAAGAGTTGCGGACCATTGTGGAAGATTGAGACCAATGGAGAAAGCGTGTTGACGCTATGGGGCGTTCTGAAGGACGACCTAGTTGAGTTGAGTAGATTGGTAACATACAATAGAATGTGAGGCTAAGAAATGGCGAGGCGAATAGTTTCTTGATGTCGTACTCTCTTATGCTACGATGTTAGGGATAGGGTTAGTGTTAGGGTTATGGTTGGGGTTAGGGTTGGGGTTAGGGTTAGGGTTAGGGTTAAGGTTAGAGTTAGCATTAGGGTCAGGGTTAGGGTTAGGGTTAGGGTTAAGGTTAGGGCTAGGGTTAGGGTTAGGGTTAGGGTTAGGGTTAGGGTTAGAGTTAGAGTTAGAGTTAGCATTTGTGTTAGGATTAGGATGAAGATTAGAGTTAGGGTCGGGCAGTGGGCGTAGCTAACCCTCCCTCATGTATCCTGCCCCCATTGACTCCGCCCGCTTCACCTGACCCGCTACGTCCCTGATCTTGCTCGTCACGTGCACGCCGCTGCTGGCGCCATCTAGCGGCGCTGCGGGGCGAGGCAGCGGGTCGGCGGCGAGAGAGGACGAGGGGTTCCAGCGACGCGGCTGTCTGATCTTAACCGGAATCTGGGATGAGTGTAGCGGTGATGGCTCCGACTGCACGTAGCTCCTAGCGGCAGCGGCAGCGCCACCGCTGCCGACGCTGACCTCGCTGTCCGCGTAGCCGATAGATGGCTCGCCGAGCGAGCTCGCACGGCTGGGAATGGGCGCGCTGTGCTGCGAGGACGGGTACGTTTGTTCAACGAATCCAGCTGCCGGCATCTGCTGCTGGAGCTGCTGTTGCCATGTTGGCAGGGACTGCTGCTGTTGCCATGGTGACAGAGGCGACTGCTGCTGTTCGTGCGCCGCCCATGCTTGCTGCGGTGCCGCCTGTGGTTGCCATGGCGACTGCTCCGGCTCCGGCGGCCGCGGCGGCTGCCACGTCTTCTTTTTCTGCATCTGCTGGCGCTCTCGCTGCTCTGCATATTTTTTCTGCGTAGCCGTCACGTCGAGCTGGTAGAACTTGCTGATGTTATCGACGAAAGAGAGCGGCTTGTCGTCGACCTGCGCGCCGCCGGCGCTCACAGATGGCGCCACCGTCAGGTGAGCAACTTCCATCGGCCTCTGTTCGTCGTAGTAGGGTGCGTGTTCCTGGTAGGAAGTCGCTGGTTGATGACCTTGGTAAAGACCTTGGTAGGTAGTTGGGGCTGGCTGATGGCTTTTATAGTAAGGCTGCGACATTGGGACGTTTTCGGGTGGCTGCTTAGGCTGGTACTGGCTCGCTGTGTAGGCATCGTCATGTGGGGGCGTGACATGGGAGTACGTGTGATCTTGGTAGGAGCCTGTTGGCTGGTAGTGCTGCGGCTGTTCGTACGGGGTATAACGTTGTTGCAGCTGTTGCTCTTGCTGTTGTACTGGCCTCATGTACTGTTGTAGAATTTGCGCATCTCGCTCGAACAGCTGTTGCTCAAATTGCATATGTTTCTCGAGCAGCTGCTGCTGTTGTAGCTGCTGCTGCTGTTGCTGTTGTTGTTGTTGTTGTTGTTGTTGTTGCTCCCGCTGCTGCTGCTGCTGCTGCTGCTGCTGCTGCTGCTGCTGCCTCTTCACCTGTTCTTGCCTTCCCGTGTCTCTCTGTACCCCGCCTTCGCTGCCGCCGCCAGACTTTATCGTCTGTGTAGCGACATCCACCCGCGGCGCTGTCTTCCTAGCCGCACGCGTCACTGTCGGAGTGATGATGCGGGGAGCGGGAGAAGAAGGAGGCGACAGCATGTTTGCCTGGATGCCCGCATCCCGGTACTGATGCTGCACACCATCCCTATCACCAGCAGGAGTAGGAGCAGCAGCGGGGGTGGAGGTGGTGGGGTAGCGGAACGCCACCTTGCTCGCTGACTTCTTCTTCGCCTTTTCCGCCGAATGGGGACGGGTCGAAGCGGGCCGTGACGCCACTTCCACTGTGTCGTCTGGCGTCGCGTGCGGAATGAAGGCTTGTGCGAGACCTGTGTGAAGTAGACGGTGATGCATGTCGGGGGCTGTAGTAGCAGTTAACTGCCAAGCAAAGCCTTCACGATGAACGAAACCAGGCACTCACGCACGCACGCTCGCACGCACGCACGCACGCATTACCTCTCACCCTCACACGCTAATGCGCATGCGCACATGTTACGTCAGTTTATATATATATATATATATATATGTAACAACTGCCAAAT